GTGTATGTATGTGTGTGTGTGTGTGTGTGTGTATGTGTATATGTATGTGTGTTTGTGAGAAGAAAAAATGGTTGATGAGAAAATTGCAAAAGTTAAAACTCTGAATATATTTGGGAATTTCCTCAATTTCCCAGAAAGAAATTTTAGTAAAAAGAAGAAAAAAATTACCCATGCCATGCCATAGAACGATTGGCGTTGGCTCAGCATTGCTGAGAATTTTTTGTAGAAATTCGATGACAGAATTAGTTGTAATTGTTGCTGATCCGGTAGGTAATAATAGAAAAGTAATGACAAAAAGACAATTAGTCGTCATTATCTTTCACCTAATTAAAAAATATCAAATTTTATGTTAAAGAATAAGTAAGCAAAAATCGATGCGTTTTTCTTTTTTGGTAAAAAATTTTGGCATGGTAACAGTAAAAGAAAGTTGATGCGTAAACAAATAGAGCATATGTGACCTTGCACTATATGACCTTTATCCATTCGCAAGATTATGAACAGATTGAAGGATTACTTTAACCACACGCATACATTGTTTGATATTTAAACAGTGGATTTTATTTTTTTTATATAAAGTTTCTATATGAATTTTCAATTATATAATTAGTTAGCTCTTCCCACTTTTTTATTTAACAATGTTCTTTTTTAACTTTTATTGAAGTGAAATCATATTTAAGTGTACTTATACAACTTAAATGTAATTTAAGTATGTTAGCATGAGAAATGGAAATAATTGGCTAGCAGAGAAATGAAAAAAAAACAGTAGAACTGAAATGGTCAAAGTTCGAATTGGAAAGAGTCAGTTGTGAAGCACAGATTTCCACTGCTAACTGTTCCTCAATGATCACAACAGCTGATCTTGCTATCATCATTTCTCATCAATAAATTGTTAAATTTCTTTGTAGAAATTTTAGCATTAAATTTTCTTATTTTATCAATGATTTTTAGTTGCGAAATAGAAATAAAAATGAATTAATTTTCTGCTAATATATCAAATTTAGCTCATAACTGCAATAGTTATAAGTTTTCTATTGTAATTTCATTTTTCATTCACATATTAAAATATCATTGATTTTGAGATCACTTCTAGTGAATGTTAAGGAGGTATTGAAATTTTAGAAGATAAAAAGTGCAGATCAGTACTATCAACGAGTGATAATGACTTTAATGCTTCACATTTTCATCCGCTATTAATTACTACCTTTTCATATATTTAGAAGAAAATATTTGACGTTTAACAATTATCAATTTACCTTCTGTACCAGTTTTTACAATTGTTTCATATTCTTCAATTTGATGCCCTGAAAATGGGATGTTTTTAGAAATAGCTATGATAAGCTTGAGAAAGTTAATTTTCTGGAAATAATACTTTCTATTAGTTTCATTCCTGAAAGATGATGACCATATTACGTATTTGTAGGCTTAAGAATTAAAATCAAATACTGAATGATAGAAAATTTAAAAACTCTAAAATAACAAGCTCAAATGTTTTTGTTTGTTTATTTAGGGAAGAATTAAGTTTAAATCAATGAATAATTACAATTCGATGAAAAATGGACATTTAAACAAATAAATGACAAAGACTGTTCCCATTACAACCACAATAAATCCAGCCGATGCACAATGCAACAAACGACGACCAACGCATTGAATTTTAAATTCAAATATTGCGGCAACAATATTGATAGTGTAGGAAACGGCACCAACAATTATCACATTTACATAGACATTCTCGGTTAATGCATCCATATTGTGGACAATTCCGTAATTGATGAAACTTGTCAAAAATCTTTAAAAATTAAAAGTCTAATAATTTTGAATTTAATATACACTCTTTATTTTGAAATTTAAGCAACTCCATCCCTCTATGACATTACCAGCTTTAAGATAATTGTGCATTTGCGTAATTTTACATCTGAATTTCAATCTGCAAAACTAAACAATTCATCGCTGAAAACTTCATAAGATTTAAATTCACTTTTCATCAAATTTTATTAACACATACAGACTAATAGCAAAGACGATTGCATAGCTACCCAATTTACGATCTGTGAAAAGATGGTAAAAGTAGTAGTTTCGATTAACTTTATTCGACTTCTCCATCTGAAATTTAAAAAAAAAGGATTGAAATGGAGAAATGATAGAAAATAATAACGAACAATTGTCAACTATTCAGTTTTTTTTTCCTTTTTTGTTTTAAAGTCCACAATTGAATTTATTTATCTTTTAATATTTTTTTTGCGTTTATCTGTAAAAATTCTTTCATTCAATACTGATCGAATTGATTTCATTATTGATCGATAATAAAAGGAACGAGAAATGCAATAAACCTTTTCTTTGACGGTTTTTTCGAGAACGTATTTTATATAATTTGCTTTCTCTGGCGACATCTTTCCACTCAATTTGTTAATGTGAACTGCTGCTTTGCCCGCTTTTTTACTTCAACCTTTTTTGGTAAGCCATCGTGGCGTATCTCTCAGATCTCTGTAACATAAATTCAGTAATTTGTTATGCATGTCTAATGAGTGAATAGCTCAAACAATGAATATTTACATTATTCAAATTTATTATTGATAATGAAAATTCAAAAATAAAAAAAAGGATGGTTGAAGAATACTAACATCGTAAATACTAGTAGTACAATGGCTGCTATATAAGTTATTTTTAATAATGTTTTCAAGTTTTTAAGGCGAAAGGCAACACCAGATAGGATGATATAATTTAGAGAGTAAGTGATCGCTGTTTGTCAGGAAGATTTTCCATGAAATATAGATTGCACACACTGAACAGTAATTCGAAATAATTTCCTAGCATTTAATTTCATATTTATGATTTATAGTTTTCATTAATGCTAAAATTATTTGATGATTAATCGCAATCATATAATATTACAATCATATAATAATATGATCATATCATAATTATACGATACATATGATATATGATATCACATGACAGTTTAAAAAAAAAACATAAATTAAAATTCGATTAAATTCACTAACCAATGATTTCCACCCGTGAAAATCATACTAAAGAAACGAAACAAAATAAATAGTGTAAAGTAAACATTGTAAAGCAAACAAACAAAGTAAACATTCCAGCGGTTACGATAAATAGAACCTAAAAATCTACTTCACACATGTTCCTTCTACTATCAGAACCGCTGATAAATTATAGTGATAAGTATTAGATTATAAATTATGCACCATTTTTGGATGGAACTGAAATTATAGGGATCGATTAGGACCGGATAGCAAATCAAATAAATAAAACAAGACTTCCACTAAATCGAAAAGTTTGAAGGGATTGTTCTTTTCTAAATTTGAGAAATAAAACTAAAATTCATGCAAAAAACACGTTAACGAAAATTTTTAAGCCATCAAAATTTTCAAATCGATAAAATGAACCATTTTTCTGCCGTAAATGTCAGCAGAGCTACCAAAGACAACTGCGCCAATCATTAAACCAACATTTTCCAATATCGCTTCGACTTTAACATATTCAGTTGGTACTTTAAACTGAAAAATTTTTAAATTACACTCTTCCACTTTATTCTGCAATGGGCTGGAATGAGTTATTATGAAATTTAATCTTTTCAATATTTGATAAGAGAATAAATATTGAATCTAAATAAGACTTAAATTTCCTTTTAATTAACTCGAAGTTCAAAGTACGAGAAGCATACATCATTTTGAATGATGTATGCTTCTCGTACTTTAGTAATGACTGGAGCAGCAGAACACTTCGGATCCATTAATGAGTACCCAACAGGAACCGGTTGATGAACAATTTTCAATGCAATATATTCCGGATATTGCTTCTGACAGAAATCGTTTACAATTGGCTTTTGGTCTAAAATTTTTGGTCAGCTTAATTTAGTCAAAATTCCTACCTGTTTAGTTAGCTGTCTCTCCTTTGCGCGTTTTTCTCCTATCTCCATTTATTGTATCACCTCTTCTTCTCCAGTTTCATTAATTATTAACTTTTTACTCTAATTTGTAAATTAATTGATGGTTAATTCAAAATTTCGTATTGTTTCCATCATCACAAATAAATTAGCACAGATAACTGCTAACTCTTGCAATTTTTTTAATTGCTACCAAAAAACTGAAAATTTTCAGAAACTTTCTGATAATTAACAATTTAAACAATCTATTCTAAACAACCAATTAAAAAGATCCCGCATCTCGAATTATCCAAACATTACCGGTGATTAACAAACATGCAAATAAGTATTGTAACTATAACACTAACACTAATAAAATTGGTGACAATGTGTAAAAATCACCATCACCAAAGTTCATGTTAGCTATAACGATTCAACCATATTTGATTTCATTAAGTAATCATTTGCAATAAGTATATTTTTGAATAATTAAGAAGAATATTAAAATTAGAACTGACCAGCAAATGTCATAAACAGAAGATTGCTCACTTGAGTAAGCACCATCAGAAAATAAGCGATAGTGAAGAAAACGGTGTATGCTCGACAAGATTGCAAGTCGGATAATTCAAAAGTTTCATTGGTCCATTCATTTCTTTTTACTGCTAATGAATGGTCTGTATGCGACATAAATACTGGAAGTTAAAATTAATGAAATATTTTGCTGAATTCATATAATATTTAAGTCGGGTAGATCGGATACGTCAATGAAATGACTTCGAAAAGAATTCTAATAGATCAAATCTTTCAATATTGGCTATTTCTAAGATTAATGAGGAAAGCAAATAGGTAATTTTTTGTTGAATTTCAAAAAAAAAAACAAATAACGGTAACTATTGTAGCATTATTTTACAAGTAAAATGGAAAAGATTCATCATCCAAACATATATTTTTATTTAAATTATCATATCATGTAGTTTTAACTATTTGTAAGACATTCGACTCTTTTAAATTGTTTTTTCTTGCAGATTTTGTTCCTTTCGTTTGCCGTCTTATAATTCATTTGATAAGAAAATTCATGAAAAGTAATCTTTAATATTTACTTCATTTTTATTTCATGCATGGTCAAAATTTTTTCTCAAAGATTCCTTTCTCTCAGACATACTTTTTTTGCTGTGAGTGATATCTGATCCACTTATGAAATGAGTTTTAAATAGCTAGCCTTAGGCTTATCAATTTATTGCACCATGAAAAATCGAAACTATCCGCAGTTGTGATATCGAAGTTGCCAGCAGCATAGTTCAACATTTCACAAAAATTATTCCGAAAAAATAGATGAAAAAGTGAAACTGAATTAAAGAAATAATCATATATGCCCATCAAAGAATCTATCGAGTATGGCTTGCAAATTATCGTTTAAAGAATGATGGTGGGAAATTAACAGTATTGCAAACATGATAATTAAAGAGTTACAGTGAGAAAAGGAAGTTGAAGCATATTTATGAGCTGAAAAATAAGATCGCTGAGGCGAGAAATGCAAAATTCCAAGTTCCACATGATATTCTTGATGTTGTCGACTAAATGTGATCTTTTTGCCCTCATTGTGAACGTGGAAAATTTTCACTAAATAATATTGTTATTATGAGGAATGAAATGACTTTGGAAATGGATCCCGTTAGAACAGTAATTCACAGCGTTTACAATACGCTTCCAAATAGTTGTAGCACTGCAATTATTGGAAACTCTTTTTGAAATAATGTGTTGGAATATGACAAGCTGTCGAAAAATCGAAATTAGAATTAAAAAATTATCCATAACACAAAAATATTAAAATTATTAAAATATAAGATTATTCTTGAATAAAATATATAATTTTAAATCGAAGCTAAATGATTTGTTTCGATGTTTACAAAAAAAAATTTGGAAAAACATGTGACTAAAGCAGTATGGTAATAAATTCTCGCGTGATTTTTATAATATTGCAACATATTTTCAAAAGTATTGAAATTTATACGAAATGACTGTCATAAATTTTGATTTTAGCCATTTATGATTGTCATGTTCATGACAAGATACTGATGTTATTTCTTTTAATCTTTGATGTCTAACTGGCTATAAAAACCGATCTCAACTTTCCGAGAAGGACGCTGATTATGCTTACCAGTCCTTCTCGGATTTCATAAGTTGATAATACAATATCAAATACCTTGAGATTAACATCATTAGTTAGCATTAAATTAAATTAAATGAATTAGCATTTTACAGATTATCACTTGAACAAGTGGCAAATTCACATCATTCCTCAATCGTTTTTCTTACTTACAGTTTGACCACTTAAATTGTGTTTTCAGTCCACACAATACAATAACGAACTTTTGATAATAAAAAAAATGTAAATTATTAATCAAATTTGAAATAATAAACAAAATGTAAATTATTTAACATAATCAAATTTGATTAAATATACATTAAATAATTTATGCTGTAATGGGAATAATTATCATAAATGTCCATCAAATTCTCCCAAATAGTTCAGAGAAATTTGATAACTTTATTGCTTATTGAAATTCATCCAATTAATCAATCTCATTTATGAGAGATGCATTTTAATTTCATGAAATTGATTATGTTTGGTGTGATATTCTGGATTGATCAGTGATATCTCTTGGCTCAGTTTCTGGCCAAACATTGTAAACTAAGATAAGCAGTTAGCGGATAATATAAATTAAATGCTGAAAATGTTTTCCCTGTTTTTGACTATGCAATGATTTCTCTATCGGAATGAAAATGTTACATTAGTTTCTTTTTTGATAAGCGACTTACGATATGATATTGCTTATCAATCTATATATGTTACAACAACACTTCAAAATGTATTTTCTTGGAATAATGTGACAAACGTCTCAAAGCCAAGAATATTTCAAAGATACCAATAAAGATTAGCTTAACTGAAACTTGTTCGGCTTGAAAAGAATTTTCCAGCAACTGTAAATGTAAGCAATAGCAAACATTTGGCGAATAAATGATCACTGTGGCTATCCATATCTGGTACTAATCAGAATTTCCGATTATTAATTACCATTTGTAGTTACTATTCATTGTCGTGAAAGTTTTGTTAGCTTTATTCTAATTAGATTCTTAGGAGGTATTCAGTAGAGGGATTGCAACTCTGTTTTGAAAGGTTGGTCCTTTGATTATGGAACAAGAGTTGAGTCCTATTCCAATGCGGTTGATTGAAGCAGAAGAACGATGTGAAGACACGTGTTGAATTGTAGTTTATTGCGAGTGAAACCCACTCAAACTTGGGTAATTAAGCCCATAGCAACAGGAAACAAAAAGGAAGAAGAAGGAATGAATGAGGATTTGATGTCTTATATAGGCAAAGTAC